GTCGGTTTTCAGAACCATCCTCGGTAGTCTATTGTGCAATCTGAGACCGATTACCCAGCTTCACCTCGCTCTCTGTGCCATTACCTGCGCCTTTATATCCCGATGAAGTACAGTTAACTAGGTTTAAGACGAACAGTTTATGATGAAGTCACGGATGTTGCGAACTGTTTCTTTTAGCTTTGTATATATCAGCTTTTTAAAATTTATATTGTTTTGGTTTTTTCTTTGTTGTTTTTTTTTTTTTGTTTTTTAGTTGCCTCTCAATTGGTTGGGTTTTTTTGTTTTGTTTTTTGGGGGTTTTTGGGGGTGTTATTTTGGTTGTTATTTGTTTTGGGTTTTTTCGTTGTTGTTTTGGGGAAGGGGACTGGCTATACGCTGTATATTTTAGTCGATTTGCGTGTAACGAATTTCGGTTATAACGAACTTAAATTAGTGGTCCCTTTTGAGTTCGCCACTATAAGCGGAGTTTACCATACAACTTGGTGACCTCTTTCTTTAAAGGAGATAGTAAAATGTTATAATCGGATCAGATACAAGGCATATCAAAATTAATTTCGTGAAGAAGACTTTTTTTTCCAAAATTCAATCTTAACAGCAAAAAAACGTTAAAAAATTACTCGCATTCCGGATACAGCATAACGCCTGGCAGGCAAGATTTGTGTTCACTTGAATTTTGACTGTGACGTATTTCTGAGTTTGGTACTAGTCAATCTAACTTATTTAGGCCATGCTCAGAAAGAAACCAAACGTTTTCCGATATTACAGATTACGGCTGTGTACGGTTTTAATAGATAATTACCATTTCAATTGTCAAGGCATTTCCATTTACCCATATACATTCGAATAAAGTGAAGACAAGAGTTTGTTTCTGGATGTCAACTTCTTTATTGTGAAGGGTCACCACGTTTAGAAGTATGTTCTTACTCCTTCATCAGGTGAATGAAACAATTAGGAACGAACAGCTACACGATGTTCAGAGCTTTCGAACGATACCCGACATCAAACGATTCGCCTCCCATGTTATTCATACGATGCTTCGTAAACGCAGGTATTTTCCGTTGTTATGTCATGTTACCGAGCAGAAAGTTTTGTTTCTTTCGTGGTTTATCTGGACGTTATAAATGTAAGCTTGCATTTTCATTCAAAAATAATTTTATTTAAGTTGTAGTTGTATCAAGGGGAAGTAACTCGGTGCATATACTGTGGTTTCAGCAGTACGAACGTTTCACTATCCGAACGTTTTTTGTAAAAAACCAAAGTGTTCGTATTAACGAGGTCTGACTGTATATATGTACATGTTGAAACAACAACAGTATAACAAATGAAACTAGTTGTTAATTGGTGGATGGACACGTGGAAGCCAGGGATTGTTAATCCAGGCATGATTGATAAGGAAAACAAATAGAAGCCAGGGGGGGTATAATTAGCACTAACTGGGTGGATGGACAAAGGATATATAACATCAAGTCCGTACCTGACCGCTAAACTTTTCTAGCGACAGAACCTCGTTTTGAGATTTCCACGATTTTCAGGTTTCTTTTTGTCAGAGCTCTCTGTACGACATGTTTGCAAGGATTATAAGGAGCGTAGTGTTGCAATATACAAGTGCTTAGATGTATCAAATAATACTGATCAATATTTATGTATCTAGTTGAATGAATTGGTCTAAAAATTCTGGACTGGTTATTGTACTAAGTTGCGCAATAGGACGGGAACCCAGTCATCAGGAGACGAGACTGTTGTGTAATCAATGTTTTGACTTGTTGGACCAAACAATCTAGTGATCAGCAACATGAGCATCGATCTACACAATTGGGATACGATGACATGTGTCAGCGAAGTCAGTGAGCCTGACCACCCGATCCCCTTAACCGGGTCAAGCCTGAGTTACTAATAAACAATTCTATCCCGGATCTTCACATGTGAACAGAGTTTGTCTTCAGGAACCAAGGATTCTCGTACGCGTCGATTAACGGGATTAGTGAGACGCCATGATGTGATTGGTGTCATTTTGTCCCCGCCGGGTAGGTCGATGCTCATTGTGGAATGTTTGGTTCAAACTCGATTCTTTACTACCGCCGTCATGTAGCTGGAATATTGACGAGTGTGCTCCTAAAATACAACAAAAAAAACATAGAAAAAAGGTCACTTCCTGACTCGATGTTTGAGTTATATCAAAGCTTCCTCGGAGTCAGTATGAGACATCAATGTTAAACTGCAGCGTGATGTCTCAGTGGGTAACGCCATAAAACCGCCATTACTCCGGAGTAGCGTAAGCAGCCATACACACGCAGAGGCACGTGCATGCACGTCAAAATGTAAGTACGGTAATCTTTAGCGTGACTTTGAGCCCTGTTTCACTTCAACTCTCTACCTAATTGGGTGGATATCCTGTCATAAACCCCCAGGTTATTGACGTTACAAGCAGTTTGCATGCTATGTCGATACACGGTGTCCTTGACCTTCAAAATAGGAGCAAACTTTGATATACACAGGGCTGGTGAGGAGTATATTTAAGCCAATTCTTGAACAAGGAAATTAGGAAAAGGGCGAAATAGTCATTAATTATCTTATTATTATGATCATAATCTCTCGGGGGGTGGGGGGGGTGTTAGCCTAGTGGTTAAAGCATTGTCACACCAAAGACCGGGTTCGATTCCCCACATGGATACAATGTGTGAAGCCAATTTCTGGTGTCTCCATCGTGATGTTGCTGTGATATTTCTAAAAGCGGCGTAAGGCCCAATTCACTCACTCATTCACCGTATATCTGATGAGTCAAAAGCCTTTTGCTCGTTCCACGAGTTATCGATTCAACGAAGCCTTTACTTAATTCAGTGTATCGTCCCTCTTAATTTAAACTCGTTGCATAACGGGACCAGAGAAGCTGTTGCATATCACCGCACGCAACTCTTACGGGTGTTAATTAAATTCAAACACTGTCTCGGGCTGCATGCATTAACGGTGTCCATTCGTGTCCTGCTCGACGGTATTCGCTGCGAGATGTGCAAGTGCAGCACGCACATCTCGTGAAGTCACGTTGATTTGTTGAAAACCGCGATCAGATTTACAACGACCCACAATTTGTAAATGACGTCAAGGTGTTGTAATTGGAATCTAAAATTAGAGGCAATAGGTGGTATTTCTCAGACAATATCTATTGGCGGAAGCGATTTGTTATAGAAAACTGGGTCACTGTCACGTGTATGTATTAACATGTCATTAGACAATATCCCAATTCAAATTATCAAATGAAAGGGACACAGGGTGGTTGCATAATTTCACATTAACACACGGCTTGACAGAAATGTTGGTCTCTGCGAAACGAAATATATATCCTGTAATTTAAGGGGGTCGAGTTTGGTTTTAATTTAAATTATAATGACCATTTTTAAAGCTCTTGTTTCCACGCATTTGTGCATGCTCAAAGCGCTAATGCATTATTACCCCGGTTATCCCACCGGGTGGTATCTTCCGATAAGACAGACCTCCCAAAAGACAGACCGCTTAAAACAACACATTTTATGGTCGGTTGTTGCATAAGGCTTAATTAAGCTGTACCCTTGATAATGATGGTATGTGCCCAGATAAATAAGGGAGTGAGTTTAGTTTTACGCCGCACTCAGCAATATTCCAGCTATATGGCGGCCGTCTGTAAATAATCGAGTATGGACCAGACAATCCAGTGATCAACGGCATGAGCATCGATCTGCGCAATTGGGAGCCGATGACATGTGTCAACCAAGTCAGCGAAACTGACCAACCGATCCCGTTAGTCGCCTCTTACGACAAGCATAGTCGCCTTTTATGGCAAGCACAGGGGTTTCAGAAGACCTATTCTACCCCGGATCTTCACGGGTCAGATAAAAAAGAGAACATTAGACATTAAGTAAAGCTTTATCAATTCATGTAATGAAATATGACTTTTTCATTAAGACAAATTGCATCAACATATATGTACATCAACATATATTTGCCAGATCACATTTACTTGTGACTATTATCAAAAACAATGATTTATATACATGTCCCTATCAAACATATGAGACCAAGCACCATGTTATTTTACATCATCATTTTCTCCTTTCACCTTGTTCTTGGAATACAGGTAGCCATCTAGACGGGGGATCGGAAAACGTCGTAGGAAAAAAGTCATGAGAACATAAATCATGTAAAAAAATAACTATTATAAAACAGCTAGTGTATTCATTGAGGCTGTCTTATGGGAGGTCTGTCGTTTGGGAGTGAACCTACTGGGTACCCATGAACTGCTGGGTGAACAGAGGCAATTCATGAACAAATTGGCCTAAGGTGAGACCACATGTGTCACGTGTGCTTCATTGTGGGGCAGGACTGTGTGTGAGTGAAGGCGTTCAGGTTTACGCCGCACTCAGCAATATTCCAGCTATGTGGCGGCGGTTTGTAGATAATCGAGTCTGCTCCACACAATCCAGTGATCAACAACATGAGCATCGATCAACGTAACTGGGATGCGATGACATGTGTCAACCAAGTCAGCGAGCCTGACCACCCGATCCCGTTAGTCGCCTCGCACGACAAGCATGGGTTACTGAAGATCAATTCTAACCCGGATCTTCACGGGGTCCAATCTACAGCTCTCTTAGCAGATCCTCTGTCCACTTGACCATTGATGAAGGTGTTCATATAGCTTGGTAGATGTCCTTGTGGTCTTCGGCGTTGCAGAAAATTTCGATTCCGTTAAAACTGTTGAAAAAACCCTATTATTTAAAGGGCTACTTCTTTAGTGGGATAGCCAAGTGGTAAGGGCGTTTGCTTGGCACGCCGAAGACCTGGGTTCGGTTCCGTACAAGGGGGCAGTGTGTAAAGCCCATTTCTTTTGTCCCCGCCGTGATATTGCTGGAATATTTCTAAAAACAGCGTTAAACGCAACTCAGTCAATCTATAATTGTAGACAATACTGTTGGATGTGGCATACGACCAAAGTCACTGGTATTATATTTTATTATTTATTATTTCAGGGTGTGCATTTCTCACATACTCCAGTCGCGACAGCGCCGTAAAAGCGCAGCAGGCTCTTCATGAAAAGAAGACTCTACCAGGGGTAAGTCCGCCTTTAACTATCCAGACTGGTATCCTGTCTGCCAGTTCGTTTAACTATGTACGAATGCGCCCATGTGTCTTCTGGCTTTTTGCCAAGGTATTGCATCCATAAAAGCTCTTTTTTCAGGAGAATGTCCGCAATTTACGTGAGATCATGTGTCCATGCCATGACGCTCTCCAGGTGACCTCCATGTTCAGGGGTCATACTTCTCGTGCTTATTCATACGACAAGCTGTAATTCATTACATTTAAATTTCATTACATTTGTATCTTTATTCAGAAAATACATTTTGTCTCTTTCCGACACGTTCCTCGGAAATATTTACGATCATAATCTGATGTTTACTCCGATGATTGTCCTCGAATTTGTATTTTATTTCCCCGTTTCTGCGAGATAAATTATTCTTGGAAATGTCAATTTGACCATTTTCATTTCGAATGAAACTCACTGAATTTATGAGTTGTATTCTTTTGCACAACAGCACGACATGCATAATAGCTGGTGTGGTTCACTAGTCTCAGAGTTGATAACAGTTAATTGATAATATGGAACTCTTGTTTAATGCCGTCTTTTCCCATCACGTAGGTGTTTTTGCCTAAGTCATGTCTTGAAAATTAGCGTTGCCATAGCAACGCCTTCCTTGGAATCACAGGTAACCATGGCAACGGGCTTTTGAAATGAGCTTCTATTTTCAGTCTATATTACCTGGACAGTTTTTATTGAGGACATACGTTCAGATATATTAGGAGATGTTTATACTATTGACGGAGACAAATTACTTTTAAAGACTGCGGAGAGCGTTTCAATGCCTTGTCGTAAATCTTTTTAAAATGACGTGGAGGGTGTCTTTTACTGACATTAAAAGAGTGATAATGCCAAAGAGTTATATTTGGAGCCATCTCCGACTTGACAAGAGATGGTCTCGACGTGGGTCTATTTTCGTGGTGCCGTTTCGTTATGAAACGTGGTTCATATATGTCTTTAATCACACGGCCGAGATGTAACGGTTACCTAATACGTTTTGGTTGGTTGGTGTGTTGTCTAAAGCCGCAATCAGAAATATTCAAGCTATATGGTGGCGGTCCGTTAATAATCGAACCTTGAACAGTCACTCACTCACTCACTCACTCAACAACTCACTCACCTCAATAACTTACTCACTTACTCAACAGCTCACTTACTCACTCAACAGCTCACTAAACAACTTACTCACTCACTCAACAACGCACTCACTCACTCACCCAACAACTCACTCACTCAACAACTCACTCACTCAACAGCTCACTCACTCACTCAACAACTCACTCACTCAGCAACTCACTCACCCAGCAGCTGACGCACTCACTCAACAGCTCACTCACTCAACAACTCACTCACTCAACAGCTCACTCACTCACTCAACAACTCACTCAATAACGCACTCACTCAGCAACTAACTCACTCACCCAGCAGCTCACTCACTCACTCAACAGCTCACTCAACAGCTCACTCACTAAACAACTTACTCACTCACTCAACAACTCACTCACCCAACAACTCACTCACCCAGGAGGCTAGAGTGTCGTTCTTTAAGTTTGGTACTCTCTTTTAAAAAAAAAAGAATAATCAGAAAACATCCATGTCTTAGATCATAGCCAGTATTTGATATAACGTCCTCTAGATCACATTAACGACGATCCCCGGGTCTGTGGAAACCTTCAGGAACCATCAGAAAACGGTCTTTATGTTCTATGATCACGCTCCAAGAGCGGGATTTACCAAAAATAGGCTCTTTTCTTTTCTTTACTCGCAGAACAGATATAAACGTGTCGTATGTCAGTAAGTTGTTTCTGCTCTAGCTCTTCTTAAGTGATGAGCGAGAATGTTTGTATCGCATTAACGTTTCTTGCAGTGAATTTATTTCACAAGACTCTGTGCGTTGTAGAGACTGGTATGAGCATACTGTGCGTTTGACTGACCAATGTAATAGTGGCCGTGAGGTGACAACACAGCTGTGATACCCGTATGAGTGAGTGAGGTTAGTTTTACGCCGCACTCAGCAATATTCCAGCTATATTACGGCTGTCTGTAAATAATCGAGTCTGGACCAGACAATCCAGTGATCAACAGCATGAGCATCGATCTGCGCAATTGGGAACCGATGACATGTGTCAACCATGTCAGCGAGCCTGAACACCCGATCCCGTTAGTTGCCTCTTACGACAAGCATAGTCGCATTTTGTGGCAAGCATGGGTTGCTGAAGACCTATTCTACCCCGGATCTTCACGGGTCGATACCCGTATGACATACATTAAAATCGGTCCCGTTAATTCCTGACTAGAATTGGTCTTCCGCAGTTCAGGCTTGTTCGGGGGCCGTGGGGTAGCCTAGTGGTTAAGGCGTTCGCTGGAAAATTGCCAAAAGCGGCGTTAAACCAGATTCACTCACTCACTCATGCTTGTCGTAGGAGGAGACTAACGGGATCGGGTGGTCAGGTTCGCTGACCTGGTTAATACATGTCATCGTATCTCATTTCACTGGATTGTCTGGTCCAGACTCTTCAGATTCTTCACAGAACTTCACCATATGGCGGGAATAACTTGAGTGAGTGAGTGAGTGAGTGAGTGAGTGAGTATGGTTCTACGCCGCTTTCAGCAATATCACGGGGGGGACACCAGAAATGGGCTTCACACATTGTACCCACGTGGAGAATCGAACCCGGGTATTCAACTTTAACCATTAGGCTACCCCGCCGCCCCGGGAATGTTCTTGAACAACAAGCTAAGAAACTTACGAAGATTGTTTTTCTTTTTTGTGAAAACAAAGTTCTCTTTGTTCTTTTACGCCGCACTCAGTAATCTCCCCACTATATGATTGCGATTTGTAAATCATCGTGTCTGCACCAGACAATCAAATGATTGACGTTATTAGCCAGTGTAGGAAAGATGTAGAAAATCTAGCCTGTCCACAGGACAGGCAGGTCAAATTTTTTACCAGTCCTGCCAAAATCTAGCCTGTTCTCCAAATATAAATAAAACACCTTCGGCAGTAAATATTCAAAAAGGTTATAATCATTATATATATGTCATTGGTTTGCTAAAATTGACCCGACATGAGGACGGACTAGATATTTTTTTAACCCGTCCTCCACAAAATTCATCCGTCTCGGACGTTGGGACGGGCTATCTTTCCTACACTGTATTAGCATTGATCTACTGAACGTTAAAATGGTAATCTTTTCTCTGTCCAGTACCCCACATGGGTACAATGTGTCAAGTCCACTTCTGGTGTCCCCCCGAAGTGATATGGCTGGAATATTGCTAAAAGCGGCGTAAAACCAGACTCACTCACTTCTGTCCAGTACAAAGTCCGGCGTTGGCGCTCAGACTGTCCGATTTACTACTGGTCTGGTTTCCATGTGGTTTCTCATTCACAACACGGCCGAATATTGTCTGCCGGCGATCTGACAACGTTGACTGATATGTCTGGACATATATCGGACACGGGTTGATCACTCCTCGGACAGACGAATGTTTTCTGACCCATTGTATCGATCCCCGTGAGCGAACTATAATCTTAATAGATCGCTGCCAGTTAACCAGTGCATTACCAGGTACAGTTGACCCTCGTTATTCCGACTGTTCCGAATGTTTACACAGATTAACACCTTCACTACAGTGTAATCTAACAGTTATTTGACACGGACATTGAAAAGAAAAAAAACACTCAAAGACGAGAAAAAGGTTTTCTGTACATACTGGATGTTCTGGGACGAATGTATTGGGAAAGAAATACCATTTTTGGAGGCACAATTGACTCGAAGCAGTGATATAAATGTTACCCGTTTCCTACAAAACTTCAAGAACCCCTTCCCCCTCTGCAAGGTTATTAGGACTATATATCGCAGCTATATCACTACTGTCAGTGAGTGAGTATGGTTTTACGCCGCTTTTCGCAATATTCCAGCAACATCACGACGGGGGACACCAGAAATGGTTCATTCGTACCCAGATTTCACGAGTGAAAAGATTTTGTGACTGAGGTAGCTTAACCTTAGCTCTGAGGAGAAGGTGAATGGTATTTTATGCCTCCTTTAGCGACATTCCAGCAACATCACGACGGGGGACACCAGAAATGGGCTTCACATGTTGTACCCATGTGGGGAATCGAACCTGGGTCATCGGCGTGACGATCGAAAACTTTAACTGGTTGTTTGGTTTGTTGTTTAACGCCGCACTCAGCAATATTCCAGCTATATGGCAGCAGTCTGTAAATAATCGAGTCTGGACCAGACAATCCAGTGATCAACAGCATGAGCATCAGTCTACGCAACTGGGAACCGATGACATGTGTCAACCAAGTCAGCGAGCCTGAACACCCGATCCCGTTAGTCGCCTCTTACGACAAGCATAGTCGCATTTTGTGGCAAGCATGGGTTGCTGAAGACCTATTCTACCCCGGATCTTCACGGGTCGATACCCGTATGACATACATGTGTCACCCAAGTCAGCGAATCTGACCACCTGATCTGACCGTCTGCTCTTATGACAAACATGGGTTGCTAAAGACCAATTCTAACCGGGATCTTCATGGGTTTATATTATAGCAAGTCAGCTTGATGTGGGATGAATGTTTGAAGGGATGCTGGGCTTGGGGGTTTACGTCTTTGGGGAAACTCCAGATCACGGGCACAACCATATCAATTAAATTAACAAAATTATAAAAGATAAGCGAAATAATATTAATCACTTTGGATAATACCATACACTACCATCATATAATAATCTTCATCCACGGAAGACGAAAGCATTACCAATGGACATTGTCTCACGATTCACTTCGCATTTAATTTACGATTCTAGAGTGCGGTTGGGCATTTTCCTAACTGTTCAGGACAAACACAAAATTAGGCATTCCAAGGGCAGACACGCGTCTTAACCCCCGGGAACCTGTAGCGAATCGCCCATCTCAACCCCTGCCTCCATCTTGACAACTGTTGGCTGTTTTCATTTTCCCAACA